AGATAGAGAGAGACAGAGAGAAATCACCCCCCAGGGGGGATGGCCACACCACAATCCCTTCTCCATTCTCCTCTCGGGATCTTGGGCACGCACGCACATGTGTCCAGCGTGAGTTTAAGCCACCAGGTCCAGGACTCGAACTGCAGTCGACTCCTCCAGAGTCCAGCAGTGTAACCGTTACGTCATCTGCTGGTCCCAATAAGTAATTCTTTAAAAAAAGTAGAAAGAAACACATTCATGGAGGCCAGCAGGTGGCGTGGTGGTTAAGATACTGGCAGCTTGAAACACACCGGGTACACGTGCGTGCATGTCCGAGATCCCGAGAGAAGAATGGAGGAGAAGGGATTGCGGCGTGGCCATGCCCCCGGGGGGTGATTTCTCGCTTTGAGCTCTCCGGTCAACGCACGAGTCCTATAGCAAAAATCTCTCTCTCTCTAAAAAAAAAGTATGTGTATCTATACATAAATACGTGCATGTAACTGTTACATACTATATATATTATAGGTGATATATACACACAACCTCCTTGGAGAGACACACTCCCCAGAGCTGCCATATCTTGCCTTTGAAAACCCCCTCCATACTCCCAAATAAACGTAATGTTTTAAAAAGAATTATTTTATTTAACTTTATTTATTTAAATTTGACCAGAGAGGGACAGAGAGAGAAAGAGAGGGAAAGCGAGAAAGCAAGTCGCCAGGTCCGGGACTCAAACCACAGCTGGCCACGTGGGAGTCCAGCACCCTTGACCACCACACCACCTGCCGGCCCCCCAAATAAACATAATTTCAGAAACTCTTTCTTTGTTATTTAGAATGCTTTGAGAACCCCAAGACCCTTTTGTTTTGTTTTTGATATGGGATGTGTGCGCTTACCAGAGAGACATGTGTATATGTGTGTGTGTGTGTGTGTGTGTGTGTGTGTGTGTGTGTGTGTTGGCTAGTGGGCACGTGGACTTACCAGAGAGATAGAGAGACAGAGAGGACAGGAGAAAGCACCCCCTCGCGGGACGGTCCCAGCACAGTCCCTTCTCCTCCATTCTCTTAGGATTTTGAGCATGCACATGCATCCGGTGTGATTTTCTTTTCCCCTTTTTTTTCATGAAGAGCTCTTTTCTCCAGGACCAGCAGGTGGCCTGGTGGTTAAGCCGCTGGACACTCCCACATGCCAGTCACGGGTCAATTCCCGTACCTCACTTTGTCTCTTTCTCTCTCTCTCTTTGTCCCTCTCTGGTCAAATTGAAATAAACAAATGAATAAATAAATGAATAAGGTTAAATGAAAAAAATTAAATAATTATTTAATTTTATTTATTCATTTTTTATTATTATTCAAGTTGACCAGATAGAAACACAGAGAAAGAGAGGGAGAGGGAGAGCAAGCCGCCAGGTCCGGGACTGGAACCACAGTTGACCACATGGGAGTCCCACGCCCTCTGCAGTGTGCCACATACTAGCCCCGAGGTCCCCCCCGGGAAGTTCCTGGACCCTCGGGGGCTCCTGCTCTGAGACCGCTTTCCCCTTTCAGGTATAGAACATCCGGTCTCTCACATCTCGGGGGGCACCTGCTGTTACATGGGCAACTCGTTCTGCACGGTGAGTACCACGCGTCCTCCCGTGGGCATAAGGACATGGGCCCTGCGGCTGGGACCACGTGGCCCTGGGCGACGGTTTCCCCAGGCTTGGAGGAGGACCTCGGAGGGGCTGGACAGTGGTGTGGTGACCGACACCACGCTCTGCGAGGCCGGCCCAGGTGGGAAGGTTCTGTGTTCGAGTCGAGAGACCTCCTTGAGTACCCAGAGCATGCACGCACCCATGATCCGCGGCCGGCCGAGGCTGGGGGTGGGCCGCAGGTGGAGTGGTGGCTAAGGTGCTGGGTCCCATGGCTGACTACACACTTTGAGTCCTGGACCTGGCAGCTCGAAAAGCATACCAGCACATGACATAATGGTTACGTCGCTGGACTCCCATGCCGTCAACCACAGTTCAAGTCCCGGTCCAGTGACTTAAAACTCACACCAGGCGCGTGTGCATGCGTGGCCAAAATCCCAAGAGAACAGTGGAGAAGGGATTGAGGCGTGACCACCCACCCCCACCTTGTGAGTGATTTCTCGCTTTTTCTCTCTGTCTCTCTGTCTCTGGTGAGCGCACATGCCCTATAGCAAAAATCTCTCTATAAGCTAAATAATTTGGGGGGCCTGTAGGTGGCATGAAGGTAAAGGGCACTGGGCTCCCACATGGCCGTCCACAGTTCGAGTCCCAGACCTGGCCTAATTTCTCGCTTTCTGTCTGTCTCTCTGTCTCTCTCCCCCCTCACTCTTTCTCCCTCAGGTCAAATTAAAATGTATAAGTAAATTAAATAAAGTTAAATAACTAAATCATTTTTAAAAAGAGATTGTTTTATGTCTATTTCCTAGGATGTGAGTAATACACTCTTCGCATATATGCTGGGAGATGACTTAGGGAAAACTGTTATATATTATTCAGAGGACGAGGGAGAGACCTTTATGGACTACGACTCCCCAGGACTGGTATGTGAACTTCCCTAGGTGAGTGGAAATTAGAAGTCTGTGTACAGGGACCAGTAGGTGGCATGGTGGTTAAGGTGCTGGACACTCCCACATGGCTGACCGCGGTTCAAGTCCTGGACCTGGTGGCTGGCTTTCTCACTTTTCGATCTCTCTCACTCTGTGCCTCTCTGGTCAGATTTAAATAAGTAAATAAATAAATGGATAATAAACAAAATTTCATAAAATAATTATGTGCTGCAAGATCACAGTAATTAGAATCTAGTCAGTGGGTAAATAAGAACTTTTCTCCATTTTTTTTTTTCTTGGAGAGGTTTTTGCTATAGGGTGCGTGCACTTGCCAGAGAGATAGACAGACAGACAGAAAGTGAGAAATCACCCCCCAGGGGGGACAACCACACCGCAATCCTTTCTCCATTCTCCTCTCGGGATCTTGGGCACACAATCACACGCACCCGGCGTGAGTTTAAGCCACCGGGTCCTGGACTCGAACTGTGGTCAACCACATGGGAGGCCAGCAACATAGCCATTAGGCCATCTGCTGGTCCCAGGAAAAACTCTTTAAAAAAAGTCCAAATCTGGGAGTTCCCTTCCCAGCTAGCCGCGGTCCACCCTATTAATTTGTCTAACATGTTTTCTGTTTGTCTCGTAGGCAGTGTTCTCCGGGACTTTGGGTGGAATCTTCTTTTTCCAGTCCTTTTCACAACTCGGGATGCTCATAGTCAGAAAGAAGAAGGTAGGGGGGCTAGTGAGCGGCGCGGTGGTCAGGCACTGGATCCCGCATGGCCAACCGGGGTTCGCATCCCAGCCCTGGTGGTTTGAGAATCGCGCTGGGCACGGCGGCAGTGTATGCCCAGGAGGAGGAGAGATTGCCAGTGGCCATCCCCCTGGGTGTGGTTTCTCACTTCCCCTCTCCCTGCCTCTCTCTGGCAAGTGCGCACGCATCCTATGGCAAAAACCTGTACAATTGTGTAAAAAAGAAAAGAAAAAGGAGGAGGCGCCCCTGGCCTCCCGGACTGACCGGGATCACCCCCTGCTGGTGACAACCATAGATGCGTCCAGAACTTGCCATGCATCCCTGGTGGGGGGGAGGGGGGCAGAGTTACCTACGTCGGGAACCACAGATCGAGGCGCTAAGAAAGAGAGCAATCGGTATGCCTGTCATTACCCACTCACGGGGACACTTGTCACTTTCTTCCAGGCGGCATTTGCCTACTCAGATCCCCCCCTCAGCAGCAGTTTTGGGGTCCCCTTTGCCTACAATGAGAGTCTGGAAGTGCACTTGCCCCCGGGACACAGAGGCATCCTGATCCTCTGGTCGGAGAGGACTCTGCAGGTCTCCCACAACACAGGTGGGCCTGGCCGGGCCACACGCCGCTTCCCCGCCTCGCTGCCTCCTCCCCTTTCCTGCCCTGAGGGACCACTCAGCCGGGGTGACAGCCAGTCTGAAATCTCCCAAACCTCCCACATGGCCGACCACAGTTCGAGTCCCAGACCTGGCATGCTTTCTCGCTTTCTGTCTGTCTCTCTCTCTCCCCCCTCACTCTTTCTTTCTTGGGTCAAATTAAAATGTATAAGTAAATTAAATAAAGTTAAATAATTAAATCATTTATAAAAAGATTGTTTTATGTCTATTTTCTAGCATATGAGTAATATACTCTTCGCATATATGCTGGGAGGTGACGTACGGAAAACCATTATATATTATTCAGTGGACGAGGGACAGACCTTTATGGACTTCGACGCCCCAGTACTGGTATGTGAACTTCCCTAGGTGAGTGGAAATTAGAAGTCTGTGTACAGGGACCAGTAGGTGGCATGGTGGTTACGGTGCTGGACACTCCCACATGGCTGACCGCGGTTCAAGTCCTGGACCTGGTGGCTGGCTTTCTCACTTTTCGATCTCTCTCTCTTTCTGTCCCTCTCTGGTCAAATTTAAGTAAGTAAATATAGAAAGAAAGAAAGAACCAAAATTACATGAAACAGTTCTTAAAGAAAATCTGTTTGCTGCAAGATCACAGTAATCAGATGTCAGTGGGTAAAGAAGATCTTTTCTCCCTATTTTTTTTTTCGGAGAGGTTTTTTGCTCTAGAGTGTGCGCTCGCCAGAGAGAGAGAGAGAGACAGACAGAAAGCGAGAAATCACCCCCCAGGGGGGACAACCACACCGCAATCCTTTCTCCATTCTCCTCTCGGGATCTTGGGCACACAATCACACGCACCCGGCGTGAGTTTAAGCCACTGGGTGTCCCGACCGGGGGGGACAGCCAAACAGGTTTCCTGAGTGAAGGAGTGAGAGCCAGGACAAGTGGCGTAGTGTTACAGCACGGAGACGACAGTGTCGTCCGTTTATTGTGGGCAGCACAGTACAGCACAGAGACGACGCAGTGTCGCGTCATCTACTGTGAGCAGCATGGAGACGACACAGTGTCACAGCTCTTCAGGGTCATCCGGAGACGATGTAGTGTTACAGCTCTTCAGGGTCGCCCAAGTCGTCTGGAGATGATGCAGTGTCAGCTCTTCAGGATCTTCAGGGTCATCTGGAGACTGCGCGGTGTTTCAGCTCTTCAGGCTCTTCAGTTGTTGTCTTCCTGGTCGTTGTCGTCGTCTTGGTCGTCTGTGTCGTCTTCTCGGTCGTCTGTGTCGTCTGGCTACTGTGGGCCAGGCATCGTGGTTATATACACTCTGGTGGGTTGTAAACGGTGGGT